GAAGATTCTTGTTTTGATCTTAATTTGAGCGTGCAAGTCAAGCTCAAAAGAAGGTTGAAGAAAGATGCTATCCCAACCATTGACGTGGCTGGGATTCCTGAACCATTACAGGACGAAATAACCGATCGAAAGCGCAGACAAGTATGGAGCTGAGCATGTTGAAGTATGCACTGGGGAAGCAAACGATTCGCCATTTGAAGAAGAACTACATGCAGTTGGTGAAGATATTTGTGAATCCCAGTCTCCATGTAAATCGTGCCATCGTCTTAAGAAAAAACTTACATCTTTACAAAAGACTTTAAGCTGGTATAAAAGACTTTAAGCTGCACTTTATCCGTGCTGTAAGTATGGGATAATGGTATTGTTTACAATTATTTTAGGATGTAATGATCTGCATTTTTTCCTTAGTGGAACAGCAAAGACAGCAGTTACAAGACCTAACAGATGATGCAGATCAAATATTAAATAGCTCTGGGAATAAAAGTACTCGCAAATGTACTAAATGCAAAGCTCCAATGAAAGGACATCCTCGAGGTCAATGCTTCACTGAAAAAGAATAAATTGAAGTTGGTAGATGATAGGGCAGTGGTCAGACATTGCTTGGAGCCTGTCTGGAATGGAGAAGTAAGGCACCTCTTTCCCACCACCAGCCTGAGCGTTCACCTTAGGCAAGTGATAGTACCCTCTAGCCTCCTTATCTGGGCACTGATATACACACCTTTCCTGATGATTACAGTATTAATATAACATTGAATGGTATGTATACTTGTCAGATTGAAGATGACTAACTCACTCGATTGTGCAATTAATTAATTTTCATGAATAATTTTTTATTGTAGTTTAATGCTCAACATGCCCTTTGTGGATGCAGTGCACTCAAGTGTGAAGACCTTATAAGATAAGTTCATGTGGCTTGCTATTTTCCATTTTTACATTTATGCTATGATTTAATTCCATATAATTTTTCTTTTTTTTCCCAGACTGACATTGAAGAAAAGATTTTCTTTACCGTATAGTGCATCCATGTATCTCCTATTTGGTTTTCATCTAGGCATATTTCCTGACCATTCTAAACTCAGCAAAGAAGGCCAACAGTCTCTACAGTGCACAAGTTAAAGACCTTTCCATCATCGCCCCTCTGATGGTATGTAACCTTTGTGTTACCACTTGGATATGCTTTCTGAATAAAGTGGTAAACACAAGCAGGTAAAGGCCGAGTATTCTCCCATCCCATAGACCCACAAAACCATCGCATCAACCATCTGTATGCCACAGCTCTCAAGTACCTGAAGTAAATAAAAAGGTTGGACTAATTATTGTTGATGAAACAATGTTGATGATAACATTGTTTCTCATACAATTTACAATGTTACATATTTAATGATTGTGATGCTTGGCGGCGATAAGCACGTCCATTCCTATCTCTCAATAGTGGCCCGACGTTTTCAAGGACAGCCTCATGAACTAAAGGCCCAAATTTGGCATGCTGCAATCGAATGTCATTTTCTGCAAAGCTGGTCCTATTTCCTTACAGCATCTGTACTCTAATGCGCCTTCTAACAAATCGGTATGACAGCATTGACAATTACACCTGAAACGTGGGAGCATTGTGGTTTATAAAGTAACTTTATGTATATTACAAACAGGAGAAAACAACAACTTACCATTCACCGAGTGGAATTACGCCATCACTTCGTTGTTCTAAGGTCGCAGGAGAATTCCATCGGGATCATCTGGAGTATGCACTTCATCACCATCTCCTGCGAGCGGTTCATCGTCATATGCGAAGTCGTTTAAATGCTCGACATAACCCACGGATTCCGAGCTCGAATCAGATACGCATTCAGACATCGAATTCGAATTATCTGAGCACTGATTTGAAGCCATACTTTCCGGACAACTTGTTTTTTAATATTTTATTGAAAATACTGTCATTATTTGTTTTAAGACAAGAAAACGACAACAAAATCACCTTCTATAATATAATATTATATTGACGGAAACAGACGTGTTCAACTATCTACGTCACAAGTATCAATATGGCGTCGTAAAAAATTCGCAAAAAGTACCCGACTTTGGAGGCAAAATTAAGGAACTTATGTTTATCTGTTTAAGTCCAGCGACATGTCATAGTTCTTCAAATAATCCAAATTATCAATTAAGCTAATAAAAAAGGGGTCTAAAATTCGTGATATAACCCCTTTAAGCTTTTGACAAATTTGAAACTTTTTCAACAGGAACCATATGGCTTTTCAAAGTCAAAAAACTTTTCAAGGTTAAAATCTGTTCAAATGTCCACAATGTTTACATCAACCATGTGGCTTTTTACAGAATCATATTTTACAAAATCAAATTTAAGCTCCGGTTAACATGATTTAATTGTTATTGGCCGAGTTCTAAATGACAATATGCAAATTTTTGTAAAATGTGCTTTGAAAACTGTTCATCCAATTATTCCATTTTGAAATTAGCATAATTATACATACATACAGTGTTACTTCTTGCATCTACTTCTATAAATTGATTTATATGACAATTTGAAAATAAAAGATGACACAATTAGCTTGTCTTTATGCAATGACAAAGTATACAAGTTGTTGCGGTTTCTTGCTGTATTTTTATTTTTACCATTCATTATTGTATTGTTTATGGCAGATGATAAATGATGGAAAACACGCAATAGCAGTTTCCAAACTGTTTTACCTTACTTGGTGGAGGGGCAGCACTTCCCTTGCGATAGTAACTCCTAGTTTAATACACTTGACTCATCTTACAAGTGTAGCAAAGTGAAACCGAAAACCACGACAGTAAATCGCGTATAAGTAGCAAGCATTTCAACTGTAAAGACAATTTAGACAAAAGATTACATTGACATTGTTTAGAACAGAAAAATTTAAACTGATTTTGCTCAGAGAATGATCCAAAAAAATTTTGTTCGGTAAAATGCTTAGGCAAGCGGCGCTTGCATGACCGCAGGCCACTGCTGGTTTTACAAACATATGATAGTGCTTCTGTCATGTCTGGCCATATCAATGGTGTTCAAGCATTGGTTCGACAAGAGTATCCTTTTGCTCATTTTGTTCATTGTGCAGCTCATAGATTGAACCTGGTCCTATGCCAGTCAGCCTCATCAATTTCTCCTGTTAAAATCTTTTTTATTAATATAGCTACATTCAGCACATTTACAAGCAATGCCCCATAAAGAAAAGCTTTTCTCACATCTAACAACCTTGAGTTTCCTGCCCCTGGTGAAACAAGATGGTATTATCGCTCTAGATTAATCAATGTATTGCACAAAACTATGAAAACTTTTAGATATTTTTGAGGGGTACTTGAACAACCAGCTGGGTGGGATGATGAGTCATTAAGTAAAATAAGTGGCATACTGCATTATCTTGATAGCTTTTCTTTGTTTTCTAGTGTGTGTTTTTACAGGATTTTAGAACAGTCCACAATTTTGTATTCCATTCTTCAAAATAGGGAAACCCATTTTAACTATGGCATAAGCAAGATTGACAATTTCAAGCAGTTTATTGTGTCACTTCGCACAGATCAAGCTTTCACCGAGTTTTACCAAACTGCACTAGAAAAGTAGGCCCACCAGCAACCAGAGCAGATAGTAGATACAATTACAAACAGCTTTATTTTGAGATTATTGATTCCATTAAAGGCATGTTATGAACGATTTCAAGATATTAATCAGTTCGAGTTTTAGACCTTGTAAATCCTAAACTATTTACTACATGGAAGGGCATAGTTCCACAGGAGAAGATCAATCTTCTCAAAGATAAGTATAGTCCTCTTTTGACATCCAAACTTTGGAGAGTCAACTTTCCTTCATTTACAACGACAAGGGCTTTCACAAAGAGTGCAGTAATGAGGTTCTTAAATACATCTTCAAATTTAATCTCCAGTCGAGTTTAGGTCAAGTGGTAAATTTGTTAAAATTGAATGGTGTGTTGGCAGTGGCAAGTGCTTCAGTAGAGAGGTCGTTTTCTTGCTTAAAAAGGGTAAAAAGCTATTTAAGAAATAGAATGGGTCAAGGTCGGCTTAGCTCTTTGTGTAGAATATCTATTCACAAAGATATCATTGAAAAGAAAGAGGAATCAGAGGTGTTGCATGACGAGGTGGTTGAAAAATTTGTAGAAAAACCCAGCAGGCTGGCCTTTCTTTATAAATGATGAGTATAGTATGTGTTTTGATATTTGTTCGTATAACACATGGTACTTCATTGAGAAAATTAAGCATAACTTTAAAGAATAAAGCCATCCCTGTACTTGCCCCAATCTAAACAAGTTTAAACTAACAATTAGAATGCTAAGAAAATCTCTCTCTATGCACTGTAGAAGTGTCGTATACTATATTATTTTTGTGCTAATACAAATTTCTTCTGTTTATGCAGGGCAGTGATGAGTAAATTATGTTTTAGAGGACAATTGTCTCCTGCGTAACGTTTCTCTGAGCCACCTTTAGTACCTTTTTAACTAGTTGCAGTTTCAACGATTGCCACATTAAGAATGCAGCTAACAAAAATGGGTTTTTATAAATTATTTTACAACAAATAATTCGCCCTCGAAATCGCAGGAAATGCTGTTTCCAAAGCTCTGGATTTCAAAATTTTCCGGGGGAGCATGCCCCCGGACCCCCCTAGTGGGGTCGCGCCGGAGGCGCGAGATGGATTGGCGGGAATGACTATTTTTCCTAGCTACGCCACTGGTTATAATACAAAAAATGATTGATATTTCAATTTATTAATACATGATATTGTGTATAATCCACTTCGACTGTTATCCGCGTAACATTTATAGCTGAGCGCAGATGCAACAGATGGCTGACATGAATCCCAAATATCACAATATTCTTGTCGAATTTCCTGTTCATCTTTGTACGAATAAATAGCAAAACGACTTATCAAATAGCTTAGTATTGAAGTATTTGTGACACAACGGTGTCTTTTTATGTTAAATAGTTAAATAACTAAAACAATTTCGACATGAATGTTTTTTTTTCATGTTTAGCAAATAGTATTTATTTATTGCGAATTTTATTGGTATCTTTATTGATTTATGCCTGAATATCAATACTTGAAGTAACCAATTGTTATTGTTATTGTTATTATTAACTATTGCTATTATTACTACTCAAGTTTTGAATAAGTTTCTTGTGCACTTCCAACATTTCCGTTTTGTGCTTCAAGACTTCAGCAGTATGAGCTATCTCATTTTCAAGTCCCTGGAGATTTTTCTGTGCTTCCTCGAGTTCTTCGCGAACGCCCTCAAACGCTTTTCGACATGATCGCGGCCAAGCCTTAGATAGCCATTACACGCCTCTAACTGGCCGGTGTGATCTTCTTGCTGCTTCAAAACTTGCTTCAATTCAGTCATGGTTACAGTATCCATGTCGCAGCGACCTTTAAGGGTTGTGATCTCGCCTAGTCGAAAATTAAACGACATGGTCATGTTTTCAACAACAACAGCTTCCAGAGGAAGCAAATCTTGAATTCTTTGACAAAGAGCTCTCGATGAGCTAACATTGAAATAAAAAATTTATTAACACGATCAGGAGTGTTTTTAACGATTTTTACGGGCGAGAACACAAAAGAAAACCATCAAAACCTCGTGAATAAATAGACAACCACGTCTAACTCATTACTTCTTTGCGGATGTAGATCGTCCAGAGTCCTGAGAAGGACTATTGGTGTTGATGTTGACTGACGTTTTGAAAACCTTAGCGGTAGTCATCTTCAGAATCAAGTCACTTACACGATACAAATACAGAAACGCTTTATATGGATAACATTTATCAAATTCGTGATTTCGTGTTACATCGTGGCGAATTTTCTTACCTGCTTTCGCGATTGACAGAGGCTTAACTAGAACGTTAAATGAGGGGTAAATATTCTTATAGTCAGTTTCGCTCGAATGATTTCTTTTGAAATTCAATTTAATTTCATCAGTAGGGCACAACGGAATATATGAATGTCAACACCCCCACACACAATTAACGTTCTAGTTACGCCTCTGGCGATCGCTGCAGATCTGCGACAATGCAACTAAAAGTGTTTAAGCCTGGCCCTCACTGGTGACATAAGGATAAGCATAAATGTGTCCTCACTTTCAAACTGCAATAAACACAATTATCAATAAAAATAACAAGAAAAAAGAGTTTCGACAATCTTGTGCGTATGTAGCATGAATAAAACATCGCACAGAATAGAGAAAATCTTAACGTACAATTTACTAACCTCTTCTTTCGCCTCAAGCTTTCTACTCAAGTTTTGAATAAGTTTCTTGTGCACTTCCAACATTTCCTTTTTCTCCTTCAAGACTTCCTCAAAATAGAAAGCCATTCATATAAAAGCCATTCAATGAAATAGAAATGAGAATGAAATAGCCATTTTTTCGCCCAGAGTCCTGAGAGGACTATTGGTGTTGATGTTGACTGACGTTTTGAAAACCTTAGCGGTAGTCATCTTCAGAATCAAGTCACTTACACGATACAAATACAGAAACGCTTTATATGGATAACATTTATCAAATTCGTGATATCGTGTTACATCGTGGCGAATTTTCTTACCTGCTTTCGCGATTGACAGAGGCTTAACTAGAACGTTAAATGAGGGGTAAATATTCTTATAGTCAGTTTCGCCCGACAGATTTCTTTTGAAATTCAATTTAATTTCATCAGTAGGGCACAACGGAATATATGAATGTGAACACACCTACACACAATTAACGTTCTAGCTACGCCTCTGGCGATCGCTGCAGATCTGCGACAATGCAACTAAAAGTGTTTAAGCCTGGCCCTCACTGGTGACATAAGGATAAGCATAAATGTGTCCTCACTTTCAAACTGCAATAAGCACAATTATCAATAAAAATAACAAGAACAAAGAGTTTTGACAATCTTGTGCGTATGCAGCATGAATAAAACATCGCACAGAATAGAAAAATCTAAACGTACAATTTACTAACCTCTTCTTTCGCCTCAAGCTTTCTACTCAAGTTTTGAATAAGTTTCTTGTGCACTTCCAACATTTCCTTTTCTCCTTCAAGACTTCAGCATAGAAAAGCTATCTCATTTTCAAGTCCCTGAGATTTTCTGTGCCCGAGGGTTTTTCGCGAACGCCCTTCAAACGCTTTTCGATGTTGATTTGAAAACCTTAGCGGATCACCAGAACACGCCTCTAACGATACGATGTGATCTTCTTGCTATCAAAACTTGCTTCAATTCAGTCATGGTTGTTACATCATGTCGCAGCGACCTTTAAGGGTTGTGATCTCGACCTTTAAAGGTTAAATATTTTATTGCAGTTTCGGTGAGAACACTTTATTTATCAATTTCACCAGTGAGGGCCACGGCAAACACTTTTAGTTCTAGTTACGATCTGGCGATCGCTGCAGATCTGCGACAATGCGACTAAAAGTGTTTAAGCCTGTTCACATTGACATAATATTCCATTGTGTCCTCACTTTCAAACTGCAATAAGACAATTATCAATAAAAATAACAAGAAAAGAGTTTTGACAATCTTGTTATGCAGCATGAATAAAACATCGCACAGAATAGAAAAATCTAACGTGATAAATGTTATCCATCAAGCTTTCTGTATTTTATCGTGTGAATGAGTTTCTTGTGCACTTCCAACATTTCCTTTTCTCCTTCTCAGGACTTGGACTCTCATTTTCAAGTCCCTGAGATTTTTCTGTGCTTCCTCGAGTTCTTCGCGAACGCCCTTCAAACGCTTTCTTTGTGTCCTTAGATCGCCATTACACGCCTCTAACTGGTCGATGTGCTTCTTGTTTCAAAACTTGCTTCAATTCGTTCTGTATCCATGTCGCAGCGACCTTTAAGGGTTGTGATCTCGCCTAGTCGAAAATTAAACGACTAGGTCAAATCACAAAAAGGTCGCTGCGACATGGAGAACTCGATGAGCTGAATTGAAGCAAGTTTTCGAAGATCATCGGAGTTAAGTGTAATGGCGATTTAACTTCATCGAAAACCATTAAACGTTCGCGAAGAACTCGACAACCAGAAAAATCTCATTACTTGAATGAGATATCCATAGTCCTGAGTCAGGTGTTGAGTGACAGACTTTTGAAAACTTGGTAGAAATCTTCAATTAGTAAATTGTACGTTAGATTTTCTCATTCTGTGGATGTTTATTCATGCTACACGTACACGAATTGTCAAAACCTTTTTTCTTATTTATTGATAGGTTTATTGAGTTTAAGTGAGGACAATTTATGCTTATCTTATGTCACCAGTGAGGCCAGGCTTAAACACTTTTAGTCGCATTGTCGCAGATTCAGCATCGCCAGGGCAACTAGAACGTTAATTGTGTGTGGTGTTCACATTCATATTCCGTTGTGCCCTACAATGCAATTAAATTGAATTTCAAAAGAAATCATTCTGCGACTGACTATAAGATATTTACCCTCATTTAACGTTCTAGCTGTCAATAAGCACAAAATTCGCCACGATGTAACACGAAATCACGAATTTGATAAATGTTATCCATATAAAGCGTTTCTGTATTTGGATCGTGTAAGTGACATGACTGAAGATGACTAGCTAAGGTTTTGAAAACGTGATCACATCGACCAATAGTCCTTCTCAGGACTCTGGGCGAAAAATGGCTATTTGAAGGGCGTTTCTTTCATTGAAGCACAGAAAATCTCCAGGACTTGAAAATGAGATAATAATGCTGAAGTCTTGAAGCAGAAACGGAAATGTTGGAAGTGCACAAGAAACTTATTTAAAACTTGAGTAGAAAGCTTGAGGCGAAAGAAGAGGTTAGTAAATTGTACGTTTAGATTTTCTCTATTCTGTGCGATGTTTTATTCATGCTGCATACGCACAAGATTGTCAAAACTCTTTGTTCTTTTATTTTTATTGATAATTGTGCTTATTGCAGTTTGAAAGTGAGGGCACATTTATTCTTATCCTTATGTCACCAGTGAGAGCCAGGCTTAAACACTTTTAGTTGCATTGTCGCAGATCTGCAGCGATCGCCAAAGGCGTAACTAGAACGTTAATTGTGTGTGGGGGTGTTCACATTCATATATTCCGTTGTGCCCTACTGATGAAAATAAATTGAATTTCAAAAGAAATCTGTCGGGCGAAACTGACTATAAGAATATTTACCCCTCATTTAACGTTCTAGTTTAGCCTCTGTCAATCGCGAAAGCAGGTAAGAAAATTCGCCACGATGTAACACGATATCACGAATTTGATAAATGTTATCCATATAAAGCGTTTCTGTATTTGTATCGTGTAAGTGACTTGATTCTGAAGATGACTACCGCTAAGGTTTTCAAAACGTCAGTCAACATCAACACCAATAGTCCTTCTCAGGACTCTGGACGATCTACATCCGCAAAGAAGTAATGAGTTAGACGTGGTTGTCTATTTATTCACGAGGTTTTAATGGTTTTCTTTTGTGTTCTCGCCCGTAAAAATCGTTAAAAACACTCCTGATCGTGTTGCTGTTTTCGGGTTTTTGCGTCCTTAACCTTAAAAATTTCAGCGAAATCTGTCGGTAAACCTTGGCAAATGTCTAGGAAGATTCCGCCATTTAAGTTTTTGTGTTTGCAGTTGTCACATAAAAAATTACGTCACTTACATACATCTTTTGCTGACGGCAAGACATTGAGAATTATGTGTATTCTCATAGTCAATCACAATCGAGTTTTAGTTACCTTCGTTGTAGAATGAATATAAATGATATACAAAGCAGTTTATATTCTATACAACATATAAAATATATATTTTCCGGAACTTTTTGAAAAAGCTCACAGATAGTTTGGAAGAAAACACAAGCAACAGTTGAAAGGCTAAACATTGCATTAAAACGATAATGGAAACTACTGGACCTTGGACTGGGAATGGATTTCTTGGAGATAGTAGTTTTCGTTGTTATCGCTTTTATGAGAACGAGGTACTTCTAGTGACTCGAGTAACTGCTTTTAAAATTCACGATAAGTCATGGGCTTGCGGGCTGATATTTTTTGGGTGGCGATCCGGGTATTTTATCCCCAATTTCTCGACTTTTTGTTCTTTCTAGTACAGTTTCTAGTTAATCGCTATAGTTAAAAATTACTTGCAACGCTGTTACTTGTTTAATTAAAGTGAATAGTTATGCGTAACCGAATATTTTAGGTAGCTGATGAACGGATGAAAAACAGTTCTTTGGACACAGAACATCGTGATGATATGGTGGATGTCATTGGCATTGGAAACCTGAAGGAAAAGCATGGTAGAGAAGGCTATGTAAGAGTATGTTATATGCAACGTAATTATCATTTTCTTTGGTGTAACAACATAATAAGGCATGCGCACAGCGAAGTCCATGTGAATTTTTCATTTTGCATAGTTTTTCATCTAATAAGTCGACTGCATTGACTTTCTTCAAAAACGCTATTTAGTACAAACATCCTTTATAAGCTCAAACGTTTAATAAACGCTTATAGTCGATGACATCAGATAACGAAAGACGACGTTTTTCATCACTGACTAAAGTTCAAAGAAACATAAAAGGTTTATTGAGCTTATAAACGTTTATTAGTTTTATAAGCTCGTGTATATAAGAGAGCCTTTCTTAAATAAAAGTGCTTTATTATTCACATTACACCTTGGAAGCCCACGTTGGAACAGCGTCCATGCAAGGCTTTCCACAAGGCTATTTAAGTATCACAGGCTTGCATTTTCGCTACAAGTATTTCCATTTTACACCCATTTTCATCAGTGTAATCTAACTTTAAACAGTTTAAATATTCACGTAGTAATCGATCTGAGTAATTGCTTTCCTCCGGTAACAAACAACGGACTTTCATAGGCTCACCATCATATTTCATTAATGGTACTCCTTCATTATTTTCTGCCATCACAAGTTCTGTAAAGTGTCCATGGTGATAGCCAATCGGAAGAGGAATTTTGATACAATCTACGGAGTCAGCCAACAGTGGTAAGTATATGCCACCAAGGTCTACACCAGCAATTTGGACATCACAGTCACCATGATGAGAATGGTGACATAATACAAGAATAGGTCTTCGAAGAACATTAGCTAAAGCAAATATATGAATCCCCTCAATACAGTTTTTACTGTCTTGAGGGGATTCATATATTGCTTAAGCCTCATTTCCACCTATCGCACGAATCAACTCGCAGCTCGCTGCGAGAACTCGCAAACTCGCAACTAGTATTTTTTCTGACCTAGCAGATAGTTCAGATTTTTCAACTATTTTTTTCTCGCAGCTATGTCAAATAAAAATTCACCAATGAAAGAAAGGCTACTGATCACGTGGCATCGTTTTTAGGATATTGTTATTTTCCCCATTTTTTTTCAAAAAACAAACTACAAATGTCGGATACACAACGAAACGAAAGATGGAGCGATAAAAAGATCGAACTTTTAATCGAAACAGTAAGAAAATTTCACGTTTTGTACATGGTTAAAAGCCGTGGATACAGAGGCAAAACACAAAAAGAAAATGCATGGCAATGTGTGGCAAACGAAGTTGAACTACCAGGTCAGTCCGAAAACACTAAAAAATGCTATAGAATTGCTAAAGAACAGTATAATTTTTAATTATTTTTCTATTTTGTCTTCAAAGTTCCATGATGTCAAGCGAAATGGAAAGGATTAAGAGATACTTTTTCAGAAAATGTAAGAAATCAGAATTTACCTTCACGTTCTGGAACAGGAAAAGAAATAAGATGGAAATGGTTTAGAAGCATAGATTTCATCAGGAAACCATATTGCACAGAGCCACTTCAAGCAACCTCAGTTGCAACCAAAGCAGTGAAAAACTTCATGAAATTGATGAGGAAGATATTGTTACGAGTGATTCAAATGAAATTGAGAAACACAGCATTGGAGCACTAACATCAACTCAATTACAGAGAAAACAAGAGAGGGTTGGAGTTAAGTCCAGTTGGAAGAAAAAATTGAAGCACTCCCCATAAAAGAAAAACTTCTGTGGATCGAAAAATTGACCTAGAAATATTAAAATTTTGAAAGCAGATGAAAAGAATGGCAATGCCTGTGGAAACCAAAGCAATTCAGTAGAGGATGATTGTATGGCATATAGTAAATATGTTGGAGTCACATTAAGCAAGTTTGATAATTATCACAAATCATTAGCCAAAATGAAGATAGCACAAGTGGAATCCAGTTTGACAAATTTTTCACAAGTCCTTGACCAAAAAGACAAAGAATAAATCAACTATATCATAAACTGTCTTAAAACATTGTTATAAAGTTGAATTTCTTTGTAAATGATTATGTAATTGTAAAGAGAGCTGTTTTACTGTTTGTACATGTTATATTCTATATATTTGCTTTCAGCTTTGGTTTTAAGAAACAAGACAAGGTTTTTTTCCAAACTATATTAACATAAACTACATCTAATTTAATAAAATTTACTTAAAATGTCACTTGCCTTAAAAAAAAAAACTGAGTTTACATTAGCAATAGTTAAACTTGTAAGAATGAAAAATACCCATGCAATAAGGAAAAGAATGTTGAAAGAATAAATCATAGTCATTCAAGGTTCCCATTAAAAGATATATGATTTTGCTGCCATGGAACTTCACCCTCTGGTTTTATGAAATACTCTTTAAATTGATCTCGTACTTCCGAGGCATCTTTCTTATAAAAATTTGAGCCTTGTCTCCCAATTGACTTTAAGCCTTGTGCATTCTCCACAGAGGCTCTCCATGAGCCCAATAAAATTTTTCCATTTCTAAAATAAGGGGATAAAGATAATAATTCTCTTGCAAATGAAATCTCTTCTCAAATTTGTCTAAGAAGTCAAGAAAATTTCACATCAGTTTGAGTTCATCAAAATTGATTCATTAAAATTTTTGAATTATGGTATTCTTGAAAAAAATTAAGGAATCTAATCATACCTGTCCTCACTGTCCACAAAACCATGGGGTAAATAATGTCTAGAACATGCTGGTTGTTTTGCCTCCGACTTTATCAGGAAATTATGAAGTGCAACTACAGCCATGGTAATCCTCTCAACTTTCATAGGTTTGGCAATAATTTCCCTTCTCAATATTCGAAATCTTGAGGCAGCAATGCCAAATGCATTTTCAACAACTCTTCTGGCCCTGGAAGGCGATAGTTGAAAATTTGATCATGTTGTGGTAGAAATTTGCCAGGGCAGGGACGCATCAGATTTTTCATCAATGGAAATGCTTCATCACACACCTCCATCACTATGACGACCATTATCGCCAATGTCAACTAATATGAATGAATAGTCTGCTGCAGCAATAGCCATGAGAACAATGCTATGCCAGTGTTTATAATTATAGTACAAACTCCTGATCCTGCTGGTGCTTGTATTTTTATGTGCTTGCCATCAATGGCCCCACAACAATTAGGGAAGTTCCAGATTCTTTTGAATTCATCAGCTATTTTTAACCACTCATACGGTGAACTGGGAGCTTTCAAATATCCTTTTTGACAAAAGAGCATTCCAAATTGCCAAACAGGTATTCGAAATAATTCTGTGTACAGTTGTCACTCCTATTCTATAACTGAAAGACAAACTTCGTGGGCTGTCTCCTGATGCTAAATAGCGAAGTGTCAACGCTAATCGTTGTTCTGAACAAATGACATCACGACTTTTATCGCTCTTTCCTTCTGACTGTACTCAAGATGAGGGAAAGAGTCGTACCAGGATGCATTAAATTTGTTAGGTCTATTTTTGGCTTTTGTTTCATTTACAGGTAAAGACTTCAATCTAGGTTGACAGGGTCCTTGTTGCATGAGAAACGTTCTTTGATCGTCATTCATATCTCGTGGCTTTTCGCTTGGATCACGAGAAGTAATTTTAGTGCTTTCTTCTAAAACTAGGCACTAATTTCAATTTCATCTCGCTGTGCTTTGTTGATGACAATTGAACAATTTTTTACAAGTTTCACAGACAAATCTTGTATTTTTTTTTTGCTATGTGCTTCACTTTTTATGAAAAGCGCTTCGCGTTTACGTGTCTATCATTATCTATTATCGCTTCATTAAGAATATTCTCACACTGATGAAAAAGTTGTGATAGAACTCTTAACTGTCCTGCACAAGTGATCCATTTATTTCCCCTCTTATATCTGAAGCTGAGCATTGACTTAAAGGAGCTATAGACATACTGACTGGTTGATAATAGCAATTGACTTACCGTGTAAATCTTTAATACTACTTCTGTAAATAATTTCTGGGTAACCTACTGGTCCCATCATTTTTTGGATATTAAATTTGATAAGAACTCTCTTCTTGGTTATCTGAATCACAGTTTGATGACTTTTCACTTTGTGCAGCCTAAACGTATAAAGACATTGTAAAAAAGACACATCCAGTAAATTAAATACAAAAATCAGCTTTTAACAGATGGATAAATGACAATTGAAAGATTCGTATTAAAAAAGATTCGTATTTTTATTCTGAACAATCAAAAGACCAATGAAATAAGTATTACATGATTTAATCTTAACGTCTACCTCTTCATTTGAACTATCATCACTCAGCAAATGATATAACATTAAAATTATATATTATTACAAATAAATATACTCTTTTAAAACAAATAAAGTCAATTCATATTAAAAGTCGTTTCATGCTCAAGTTTTAAAAAGTTAGATGAGTCTTACTTTCTGAGCACGTATTTTTATGATTCGGACAACGGACAACAAATAAGGCAATAAATTAATATTATTTAACAATAATATAATAAACTAATGCCTAAAACGATGCCACGTGATCAGTAGCCTTTCTTTCATTGGTGAATTTTTATTTGACATAGCTGTGAGAAAAAAATAGTTGAAAAATCTGAACTATCTGCTAGGTCATAAAAAATACTAGTTGCGAGTCTGCGAGTTCTCGCAGCGAGCTGCGAGTTGATTCGTGCGATAGGTGGAAATGAGGCTGTTAGCCTCATTTCGCAAGAAGACGCAAGAAGACGCAAGAAGACCTAACGCAAGAAGACCAAACGCTTTTGAACGTTTGGTCTTCACTCTATTGCTCTACACCAAAATCCACTGGTACACCAATGGATTTTGGTGTCGAGCAATGGAGTAAAGACTGGAAGAAAACAGTCGCTGTTCCAAAATAAAGCTATCGCTGTCGCTATAAGTCGCTATCGCTGTTTTGATTCATATATTAGCTAAAGCCTCATTTCCACCTATCGCACGAATCAACTCGCAGCTCGCTGCGAGAACTGGCAATTGTTCGTGTCTGTTTCGAGTACTCGTTGTTTGATAACTGTTTTTCAGCGAGCTAAGAAAAAAAATGGCGGACGCTTAAGGAGTGAAGAATGAGTCCTTTGACTAGAAAGCAAACAATTCTTTTACTCTATTTGCGAAGTCGAAGAAGACAGCGTGAAAAATGCCGCAAACGTTTTGGATCAGGCCGATATTCCAAAGAGATCTCAACATAGCGAATTTTCACTTTAGTGAAGGAATTACGAGATGGAGACAACGAAGGTTATTTCCACTATTTTAGGATGTCACCTGATCAATTCGATTACTTACATGGCCTTGTAGGCTCCCTTGTATGCTCCTTTGTATGCTCGTTATTTCCAAGTGGACCAGGACGAGAAAAAGTGATCCAGCATGGATAAATGGTGTACGATCATGGAAGAAAATGAGGAGTGTTGGTGCAAACAAGAAAGGAAAACTTCATAAACACTTCAGTAGCAAGTCCCATCAAGCTGCTCTGGCTGACTTTGCTCCTTTCTCAATAACATCTGCCCATTTTGATGTGATGATGAAAAGAACAAGGAAATTATGTTGATTCTACTTGATGTGGCTCGCACTCTGGCAAGGCAGTCATTGGCGTTCAGAGGAGGAGGCGATGACAAGGACGGAAATTTCATTCAGATTGTAAATCTTCTCTCAAGACATTGTCCTGTTCTCAAGCTGTGGCTGGACGATCAGCACCTCAAGCCATACAGTACAACATATACAAGCTCAGAGGCACAAAATGAGATGCTTCATTTGCTGGCTCAACCTGTGAGGATGAAATTCGTGCTGAAATTAAGTCAGCCGGTGTATTTTCTGTGTCTGCAGACACTACACCTGATATATCGAATCAAGACAAGCTTATCGTTGCTGTAAGATATGTCAACCAAATGGGCATCCCATGCGAGAGACTGGTTGAAATGAAAGAGACCCTTGATAAAACTGGTGCTGGAACGGCTAAAGATGTCATAAAATCTTTAATGGAAAATGAAATCGATATAGATATGCTTGCATTTCAAACATACGATTTCAAAACATCAATGTCTGGACGACTAAATGGTGCTCAAAAAGTGTCGCAAGAAATTTTAAAACGACAAGTGCCTTACATCCCGTGCCAGGGACATCGGTCTAATACATTCAACGAGCATTGTTGCAAACATAGCTCAATAATTACATCAATGTACGACGCTCTAGAAGACGTATATGTGTTTTTTATCAAAAGCACAAAAAGAAATAAAATTATAGAAGAAAGTTGCAAAGATGTTGAAAACAATTTAAAGTTTCGAAACTTCTCAAAGACGAGATGGGTTTATAATTCTGAGTCCATTGATGCTGTCTGGAGAAGTTATGAGGTAATACCAAATGCTATTGTGAAAGTTATCAATGCTCGAGATGTAGAATCAAAAGTAAAAGCTAAAGGCGATGGAATAAAAAAGAAATTTTTAGTTTCGACTTTCTTTTGCTCTTATGTTCATGCGAATCATAATGACAAAACCAAAATCCTAACCAAACAACTGCAGGAGGAGCTAAATATAGTAGATGCACTTAACCTGATTGATGCTACAGTAAAAAACCTTAGACAAATTCGAAGTGACGAGAACGGATTAGACTCGAAGATAGAGGCAATGGTTGCATTTGGAACCAAAGTAGGAATAGACGTAATGGCAGAATACACTCGTCATCATCGATCAAGAAAGCCACCCAAACGAATTGGCGAGTATTCCGAAATAACAACAGAAATATCATTTAAAGATTTCTACCGAAAGGAAATGTACTTGGTTCTAGACTCACTTATCACCGAGTATACCGATAACATTAAAGATTGCATCGACAAAATAAAACCTCTTGGAGAGCTTACAGCTGCCGCTAGAAAGGCCGATGGCTGAAACAGTCAATGAAATTTGTAGTCTTTTTCCACAGGCGGTAAAAGATGTTGATGCAGAAATACTGCTGTTGGAGTTGGAAACTTTCAATAATATTGTGTCATCACAACTTAAATCAGAACCTAAATCCCTTCAAGACGTTGCGTTATTTGCTTTCAAACACAAAAACGTCTTTCCAACAGTGTGCAAGGCGTATCGACTATTGCTGACCGCTCCAGTGTCCGTGGCAAATAATGTGGATAAGATTAAGTTGAAATTATTACCTTGTGAAATAAACTCCATCAATAAGATTTGATACAACCCTTGGGTCTGTGTTGTATTCTTGAAGAACCTTGATATCACATGGTTTGGCTGTGATCTTGAAAAGATACCATGGGACAAACGTTGATACAAAAGATATCACAGGATACACGAGGATAAAAGATATCATGGGGATAAATGATGATACAAAAGATATCACGGGGATAAATAATGATACAAAAGATATCACGGGGATAAATAATGATACAAAAGATATCACGGGGATAAATAATGATACAAAAGATATCACGGGGATAAATAATGATACAAAAGATATCACAGGGATAAATAATGATAAAACATACGTATCATGGGATAAACGATGATACTATAGATACTATAGGATAAACAACGACATCAAGGGATAAACGACTTTAATACTAACTGATGATATCTGAACAGGTATACCAGAGCTATTGAATATCTCGACGCCATTTAATCCAACGTAATACTGGTCACCCCAGGTTGTAAGAAAGTTTATGACAAGGTTTTGACCACTTGGTAACTCAAGAATTGTAAAATCATCAACTACACTACGTAAAAAGAAAGACATCTCTTTGAAGATATCAATTCAACAATTATAAAACTTTTAAGAAATACAAAACAATTTTCGTGTTTCTAAGGAATAATAGAAACACAAGACAAAGTTTGGGAGAAACGAGAAATGCCTGCAACAAAAGCTATTCTTTGAATTGTTAGAGCTTCATTCCTATTACAACTGAAATTACCTTAAGATTACACCATCGTCTTGAATATGACTATCTTCGACAAGAAATTCGTCTAAAGCATCTCCTATAGAATGTTTATGATCACAACAGTTGATATGAACGTTCATTGGTCAATTTTATCTAGAAGTCAACTGACCAATGAGGTCAATTTTCTCTAGAGGTCAACTGACCAATGAGGTCAATTTTCTCTAGAGGTCAACTGACCAATGAGGTCAATTTTCTCTAGAGGTAAACTGACCAATGAGGTCAGTTTTCTCTAGAGGTCAACTGACCAATGAGGTCAATTTTCTCTAGAGGTCAACTGACCAATGAGGTCAATTTTCTCAGAAGGTGAGCGTCCATTGTTTAATTTTTACTGAAGGTTAACAATCATTGGTCAGTTGGATTCCATTTAACGCGTCCACTTCAATACTAACGAGTCTTCTTCAATACTAACGCGTCCATTTTACTAATCCACTTCCATACTAACACGTCTACTTCAATACTAAAGTGTCTACTTCAATACTAACACGTCTATTTCAATACTAACAAGTCCACTTCAATACTAACGTCCACTTCCATAACACGTCTACTTCAATACTAAAGTGTCTACTTCAATACTAACACGTCTATTTCAATACTAACAAGTCCACTTCAATACTAACGCGTCCACTTCCATACTAACACGTCTACTTCAATACTAAAGTGTCTACTTCAATACTAACACGTCCACTTCAATACTAACAAGTCCACTTCAATACTAACGAACGTTAAATTGTGTATCAAAAAACTACCTTGGTGATCCATATTAATCTTCATCGAAGGAGTCAACCGTCCTTCTTCTAGAGATTCTTCTAGCCATTTTGAAACAACAATTCTCATTCTCATGATTTCATTCTCATTCGTAGCATTTTTCGTTTTTTAAGAAAACGAAAGCTACGAAAAAAAGAACATGAAGAAACGAAAGCTACGAAAAAGAACAACGACATGAAGAAAACGAAAGCTACTAGAAAAAGAAGCAACGACATGAAGAAAACAAAGAAAAAAAAGAAAAAACGACATGAAGAAAACAAAGCTGAAAAAAAGCAACGACATGAAGAAAAGAAAAAGAAAAAACGACATGAAGAAAAAGAAAGCTAAAAAGAAGACGACATAAGAAAAGAAACGACATGAGAAAAGAAGCAACGATGAAGAAAACGAGCTACGAGAAAAGAAACAACGACATATCTCATTTCTATTTCAAAATGGCTATTTCATTCTCATTTCTATTTCTATTATCTATTCTCATTTTCTTTTTAAAGTTTTAACATCATACTACGTAATGAAGACAACTTAGACTGTGGCTGTGACAATAGTATATAGAGGGACTTAAGATTAGACTCAAGTTATCTAGTTATTTCTGAATATGACACATGACACGACTAAACATGACCTCTTCATGACTCTAGACTAGTAGAAATTAAATATCAAATCACTCTTGATGTAGTATGTGCGTAAGAATCAAAGTTTCAACATTATGTCACTGCCGAAGAAGCCATTATATTGGGGTGTATAATAACCCAAGAATGAACTCTTAAAAATCAAGTTGTAATAATTGCTTAAATTTGAACCTAGGGAGAAGTCAGTAGACATGGAATAACACCTTGAATTATCACAAATTACCTTACCTGGGAACAACTGGCAATTTTACTTGTAGGCAATCCAATATTTGGCGCCCAGGCCACATCACACACCCAATCGCTATGTGCTTCCAGCTTCTCTTCCTCTTCCCACTGGCCATCAGTTGCACTTAATTAATAATGGAGAGATTACATAGAAAACCACGCTGACTTTTGTAAATTGCTGTTTTCTGAATAACATAAAATAATGGAAAACAGTATGGGGTTTACAACGCAAGTCTAGGAGGTGAAATTAAAGGCAATAAAGACCGTTAAAATAGAGTTATAATTGTTATCAAAGGAAAAACAAAACATGAACACAATATAAAATCCGTCGATCATTCACGATGTTAGTAAGCCCTTAATAACCGAGCACGAGAATAATAAAAGGTTTAATAAAGGTGTAAAAAACGTTCTTTCTTTTCTCGTTCTCGCTGCTTTACAAAGACTTGTTTTCACTCCTCCACTCTTCGTCCGCAAAAAGAAATGATTTGAAAATGTGTCCTCCAAAAAACTAATTTTCTGAGTGCTCTTCCTTTCCCTTACATTCCTACATGATTTTTTCTTGTTTTTTTTTTCGTTTCACAAAAATTTTAATGTTTGCTTCACGAAGCTAACATTTATTTGAAAAATTACATGCAATGGAGCGCTGATCCATTACAGGAAAGTAATTCTGCGCCAGCAAAAATATTTCTGAGCAAATCAAAACACGCCATTTCACCGGAAGTGTCGCTTGCCATATAAATATACATAGTTAAAGTACCTCATCTTCCATATTTTTACCAAATTATCGCAGCCTCCAGTCACTAATCGTTTCTCTATTTCGCCACGCTTCGGTTCATCAGCAATCTAAAGAACACGAAATTATATTCAAATCCCACAAGTCATGCACCATGTTCCGTCAAAAATTGTTACTCTAAATCAAACATGCTTTTAGCTACAGTCTGATTTGAAAGTTTAAAGTCGTTCCTATGAAAAGTAACTTTTCAATGTTACAATGAAAAAATGTTCAATTCTTTAGTTAGTTTCCATATTATGTAATACTATTTACATTAAAAAGGGACCCAGGATGCGTCGAAGGCGCCCAACTGACAGCATTACATCCAATCTAGAAGAACATTAAAAATTGCAACACAGAAAAGTTGCAATACGTTATGGTGTGTTTTATGTGACATCAAAGCAGTGGCAACGGAGTGGAGAAATACTATTACTTCTTACTGTGTGTGCATTGTTGATCTTTTTTACCTGCCAGTGTCCGTCACCTACGGTACAAACAGAGTTTCATTAGAGCAAGATATTTTCACATGAAAATAACAAAGTCTTTTCATTAATTAATATCGTAATATTTTTACCAGTCTTTTGTCTTAGTAAGTTAAATGATTCTTTAAGACAAGCATACATTCATAAATTTACGAGGTACGTATCTTGTCATCATACGTACAATACTGCTATATTTCTATGTTTAAAAATATCGTATACCTTCACTTGATATGATTGAAACACTTCCATCTGAGGAGCCACAAGCCAGCATCAATCCATAGGCTTCGGGAGCCCAGCAAAGAGAATTCACTACAAATGGTATAGTAGTTATATAGGTGCTGTGTATGCTAAATGTGATTCCTAAAGCATGGTATATGGACCATATGCGTGTGTTCTGACCCTACAGATGAATTGCAAGACATGTATGTCAACTTTTGTAAAGTAAACTGTAAGATTCGGGCATGTTTTGGCCGTTATTTCGGAGATGGCCAATGGATAGATGTAATTCTACAACTAGTTGACCGGTCACAAAAAAATTTGGTGTGTCAAAGCAATGAATATGGCTGGTTAATGACCACTGACCAACACTTCTTGGTAACCCGAGAGGTAGGGTTACCAGTAGCGTAGCCAGCCTGGGGATTTACTCCTAATAGTAAAAAGTCGGGCTAACTAAGCTACTGATGGTGATGTGTTGATACCTGATGAATCGTGGTTGATATAAATTCTTGCAACTTCATCCATCCATTACTGTTTTCTTTCCAGATAATTACCTACGTACCACAGTAAAAATATTGTAACGTTGAGCCGTATAACGGTCAGATTTGGATCCTCATGTCCCTCGGTATATGCACTTGCGCCAGGAAATCATAAACTTGCCACGTATCGTTATTATTGCATTATATTTAATCATACGAGTTTATATACAATTTTACTATGCTCTATTCATCTCTTGTCTTGTCTTGTCTTGTTTTGTCGTGCATTTATGTAATAACTAAAGGGAGTGTTCTCCGTCATGTCCTGCACGTAATAGTGGGATGACTTAGTTCTTTCTAAGCGCGTTATAGCTGCTTTCATGCTTTGTGGTCGGGCTTGTGTGGTTAGCTTGTAGCGCGTTGTTGTGCTTACTCACATCCTATATCCGTTGACGCACAACAACTATGACTAAGCTTGATTCGTCGCTACACTACCCCCTTCTTAGAGAAAGCATGTCCCATGCGCTGATAAACCTAGTATGTGATATATGTCTACTAAATCATGCAAAATTTAAACAATTAAAATCATGTTGTCCAGAATATTCAGTTTATGTCTACGTCAAAATCCGCCATCCATCCGGGAGGTCGAATTTGACGCCGTGGTCGGGACAATGAAGGTTGCCGTTCCTCATGTATGGGTAGTTCGTCCTCACGTATTGGGTTTGTGTACTCGAAGACAGGTGAGTCGTGGGTGTACATAAGATCAGTTTCGTCCGGAACGTAACGTTGCTCGTTGACACGAGGTCGGTCATCTTCATGAACACTCTGTCCACGCGTTGCTTGAGGGTGACTATTCTCCACAGAATTGATTGTGCAATGTTTCAACCGATTGTAGTGAACAATTTGCTTTCTTCCTTCTCCATTCTCTGCCCCAATCTTGTAATTCACGTCAGAAAGTTTGTCAAGGATGACAAACGGTCCTACCCATGGTGATCGTAACTTGCGTGACTCACCTTGTTTCGTTGCGGAATTGAGAAGCCAAACACGATCGCCGATACCAAAACCATCACCAGTACCGCGAGCGTCATAATACCGCTTTTGCCGCTTCTGTGCTGTTTTCAGGTGTTCACGAGCTAGACCGTGCGCTGCCACGAGGCTGTCTCTCAACTCCTCGACGTACGCGTGCACATCCTTTGATTGGTCAGGAGTGTTTCCGAACATCACATCTGCAGGTAAACGGAGTTCTCGTCCAAACATTAGCTGGTATGGAGTAAAGCCAGTTGATTCCTGCACACTCGATCGGTAAGCCATCATTACTCGGGGAAGATGTACGTCCCAATCCTTTTGATGTTTTGCTACATATTTGGAAAGCATCGCTTCAAGAGTTCTATTAAAGCGTTCAATCATTCCATCTCCCTCAGGGTGATACGCCGATGTGCGAGTCTTATGGATTCCCAAAAGCCTACACACTTCTTGGAATAGTGAAGACTCAAAATACCTACCTTGATCTGTGTGGATGGTATCTGGTGCACCAAAACGGCAGATGAATTCGTTCACCAACTTTTCCGCAACTGTATATGCTACTTGGTTTGGAATGGCATAACTCTCTGTCCATTTTGACAAGTAGTCGCCAACCACCATGATGTATTTGTTGCCGTTTGTAGACACTGGTAAAGGTCCCAGTATATCGATTGCAATTCGTTCTAAAGGATAACCAGGGGGACAACTTACCAGTGGTGCCCGATTCCCTTTAGTTGCACCCTTACCTACAGCGCACTTTTCACATTTCATCAACCATTCTTCGACATCTTGACGTTGACCAGGCCAGTAAAATCTCTGTCGTACTTTCGAGAGAGTTTTTGTTATGCCCAGGTGACCGGAAGTTGGACTGTCGTGCAGACTTCGTAACACATCGTTCACTAAACAACGAGGTACTACCAACAGGGGCTCCGTCGTTGTGCCATCGTCATTTTCATAACGACGATACAAAACACCGTCACGAATTTCCAAAACGTCCCAATGTGAACACAAATTGTGCACAGCTCGGCTTAATCCTTTTAATTCTTCTTTTCGTGGAGGATCTACCTGGATCTCCTTCTTAGACAACACATAGCAAATCGTAGGGTCAGCTAACTGTAGTGATCGTAACTCAGCGGACGTCCACGTGGGACACCAAGCTTCCTCAGAATTCGTCCGTTTTCAAGTTCTATATTTCCTACGTTATGAACTTCGATAGACGGGTTGGGCCGTCGTGACAAACTGTCCGCATGTCCATGTCGCTTCCCAGGTCGAGACTGCACCTTAAAATCAAATTCTGCAAGTTTTTCTAGCCAACGTGCTACTTGCCCGTTTGGTTCTTTAAAGTTCGTTAACCAACGTAAGGCGTCATGATCCGTTCTCGCAATGAAACGTAGTCCGTACGGATAGTGCCGAAATTGTTGGGTATAGAAAACTAAAGCCAACATTTCTCGTTTCGTCACTGAATAGTTACGCTCACTCTTGCTCAATGTTCTACTAGCGTAAGCAATTACCTTTTCCTCGCCATCTTGTATTTGAGACAAAACAGCACCGATGCCGAAGTCACTCGCGTCGGTGTCAAGAATAAATTCCCCGTCCGATCTTGGATACCCCAATACCGGTGCGTTCACTAAACACGTTTTAAGCTCTGCGAAGGCACGATCACAGGCAGTAGTCCACACAAAGGTTTTCTCGTTACCAACAGTTAATGCATGATGTAATGGAGCTGCAATTGCTGCAAAGTTCTTGATAAACCGGCGATAGTACGAAGCTAAACCGAGAAAACTCCGCAGCTCTGTTTTCGCGAGAGGTACCGGCCATTTTGTCACCGCATCTACTTTGCGAGGGTCTGTGGCGACCCCCTCCCTAGAGATGACATGACCCAAAAAAGGCACAACTCTCCGAAAGAGGTGACATTTCTGCGGTTTAATTTTTAGTCCTGCATCACAAAGCCTCTCGAGAACCATCTGCAATCGTTCGAGGTGCTCTTCAAACGTCGTACTAAAGATAATAATATCATCCAAGTACACCAGGCATGTTGACCATTGAAGACCTGCTAAGACAGATTCCATCAATCTTTGAAAGGTGCCTGGTGCACCTGTTAATCCAAATGGCATGACACAGAACTCGAACAGCCCTTGAGGTGTTGCAAACGCCGTTTTTTCTTGATCGGACGGTTCCACCTCGACTTGCCAATATCCACTAGCAAGGTCTATAGTTGAAAAGTACTTGGCTCCGCCCAGAGCATCAAGGGTCGAATCAATCCTTGGCAACGGATATGCGTCCTTTCGCGTTACTTCATTAAGGCGACGATAGTCAACACAAAACCTTGTGCTCCCGTCCTTCTCTTTCACCAGCACAACTGGAGAAGCCCAGGGGCTGGAAGAGGGTTGAACTATACCGTCGTTCAGCATCGACGCCAAATTCTTATCCAACTCGTCCTTCTGGTGAATGGGAACTCGCCTTGGGGACTGTTTGATAGGAGATGCATTGCCCGTAGGAATGCGATATGTTACCCGATTTGTTCTGCCAATGTCCGATAAATCTTTTGACACAACGTCCTCGAAGTCATTTAAAAGTTCGTTTACCCGAGATTTCTGTAAACTGCTAATGTCCGTATCGTCCCAGCTGAATAAATGTGACACTGCTGCACGAGATGCTTTTATCGATGTTGCTTTCGATCGCTTATGACGCTTACAGACGGATGTAACTTGACAATCGTTGGTAGTAGACTTTAGAGAGTGGCTCACCTCACATTGAGCAAATGTTCCAAGTGTGCATCCCTTATGTAACACTACTGGCTCCGGAGAAGGGTTGCATAACCTGACAGGTACCTGGTTATTTTTTGGTTGAGTTACTACTCGGGCCACCAAGACTGAGTGCTTACCCAAAAATCTTGGACAGGGCTCTATTAAACCAGTGACAGTATCACTTACCGCCCTAACATTTGCAGACATGATCATTTCATGTCTTCCCGGTATCGTAACCGTTTCCACCAAACTAACCCGACTACATGCCCAATCTTCCCGCTTACAACCCATGACAACCTCTCTATTCCCAGCTTTAACTACACCAGCCTTAAAATCAATTAAGCAATTGTTTTTACCCAAAAAGTCAACACCGATCAAGCAATCCTGAGTAATGTCATTTGCAACTAAAACATTGTGGTTAGTGCTAATGTCTCCCAAACATAGTTTAACTACACACGCCCCCACAATTCCTAGTGGTTGACCATTTGCTGAAATGACCTGTTCCTTTACGTCAGACATCTTCTTACCCTTATCAACCTTATCCAATACCCGCTTATGAATGAGACTTACCGCAGAACCCGTGTCCAAGAGCATGTCTATTTCAACATTACCTACCCACCCAGGGACGTAAAGACTCGCGCCGTCATTGACGCTGTACGAACCTACAACTTTGGGTATTGACACTTCTGCACCCCCTTCCCAGCTTTTGGAACCTACCTGCTTTATGGGTCTTAGATGAATCATCGGCTGGCACGCGACCCGCGGTGCCAGCCTGGCCTAGTTTCCTGTTTTTCGCTTGAATCATTGGTAGGGCAATTAGCTTTAATGTGACCTACCCCACCGCATTTCCAGCAAGTTTTCTTACCACCCTTAAACTTATTGCCTGGCCTATGGTTATTTTGGCGAATCTCAGGTTTAGAACGGTCAGTAAGTAGGTTTACGGCCTTTTCAAGTGCTGCAGTCTGCTTGCTGAGCATCTCCAGTATGCGTGAATCGCTAGACCTCTCGACCGCCTGCACCCGAGACGTCTTACTACGAGCACCAATGTTTTCTGCCTCGTAAATTGCCTCAAGCTGGATCGCGCGACTTAAGCTTTCATCCAGCGTCTTTGGATTGCCTTCCCGCAGACGAATACGAAGGTCAACATTGTCCAAAGACGCTATAAATCGATCCATAGCCAAACGATCGAGAATGTCTGTCGGTGCGCCTGGGAATGCTCTCCTAGCCATCTTACTTAAGCCTGCTGCGAGCTCACCTAACTTTTCCCCCTGTGCGCGTCGCCTAGCTTGAAACTCAGCTTATATAATTCTAACCGCTCTGTGGGTGCGAATTTCTTACTGAGGGCTTCAGAAAGTACTTCAAAAGTTCCCGCCTGCGCTTCCTCTGACAAGGAAAAATATATTTCTTGTGCAGCGCCCCGGAGACGAACGGCCAAGAAATCACGTTTCTCGTCGTTATCCCATTTATTTAATTTTGCGCAATTATTAAAATATTTAAGCCACGAAATCCAGTCTTCCTTTTCAGATGCTGCAAAAGCTTCTGGCATTACAAGTACCCTATGGGGAATGGAATTAGCGACATTACTGCTACTAGCACCTTCTTCAGTCATGTTTCCGCTTATTTTATTAGCGAGTAACTCTCATTAATTATGCTTAAAAGACACATACGCTCAGACAAAGAACTAACCTAGCAACAGAACCTACAGTGCATATCCAATCCGTTCCTAAAGAATGAACACGAGCCCAGGGTAGCAACTGTCGGTTTATTTAAGCACAAACAGTTCGTCATCCACTGACTCTCTGACTTTAGACTGATTTCAAGGATCCCACCGCTGCCACCAATGTAACGTTGAGCCGTATAACGGTCAGATTTGGATCCTCATGTCCCTCGGTATATGCACTTGCGCCAGGAAATCATACACTTGCCACGTATCCGTTGACGCACAACAACTATGACTAAGCTTGATTCGTCGCTACAATATGACTAAACAAGTAGAACATGCCATCTCTCATGTATAGGTAAATTGAGAAAGACAAATTACTGTGTTACCTTTCTGTCATAGGAACAGGAAGCCAGTAGACCACCAAACATTGGATGAGCCCAGGAAACCTGCCAAACTGGACCGTCATGGCTAAAATAACAAGCAAACATAAGAATACATATTACAAATACTTTATCATATTGTAATTTGTGTTATTTATCATTAAATGAGTGAATTCAATGCCATTTGACGGGGCCCGCCATTCAAATAAAACAATGTAGGGTAAAAACTGGGGTATGTACATAGTCTGTGATCTATAAAATTTGATCTGTATGATTCAGTATGTAATACACCATCTCTTCTTCAGATTTTCTAGACTATTAACATTCATGACATGATGAAGCCAAGCCTGAATATAAATTTGTGTGCCCGGCCTGCCAAAATAACCCAACTCAATCAAATTGTGTCAAAGTGACGGACACAATGGCATTAATGCCCGTCTAACTGATTACAACAATCAATTTGTACCAAACAATGTCCGTGATGGCTGCAAATACTCAGGCTTGGACATGATAGGGATCTCACCACCTAAAATGTAATAAACTGACTCTATATAATACTTATTGTGAAAAAGAAATTAGTGACCAAATTTCTATTTCACTACTTTTGTGTCAAGTAAATTTTCTCTTTTTTTACTCAGATAGAAAAATACGCTCAATAGAGAGAGGGGATGATGTAATTTTTTGATGAGAAGTTAATCTTAAAACAAGGAAGCATCTGGTCATGATCATTGACCAAGCAAAAACTACCTTCTGATGACAAGAATAAGTTTTGTACCTTTTTTATTAAATCACAAGACCTTTTTAGGGTCTAAGTATTTGAAAACCTATTGTCTTTCTATAGGCAATGAAAACTATTATCAAGTTATACAAAAAAATCAAAGGAAAATGAGACGCATCTGATTTTGACAACTTCAGTTGTATTCTTACTAACAGTGAGCATAGGTTGAATAAGATTGAATTGCTAACATCGTCTAGAAAGGGATGTGTTTTTTTTAACAAACAAACTTTATGAATTGCTATTGGCCTTTTAGACATTGCAAAACCTAATTTTTTCTACACTTTGCTTCAGAGAACAACCCAATATTGCATTAAGACTGTGTCCTTTTGGAAATACCCACACTAATAGCTTTCTTTGATTTTTCGATTTAATGAATGAATACATATTAAAAATACTTTGCATTACCTGGGACTTCACTGACTGTGTGCGACGCATAATCTTTGCCTCATGAAAAGATAATTCTCTTCTTGACTTTGTCTTCCTTTGACGATTAATTGTTGAGAGCTTATTCTGCAGCAAAGAAGGTTTTGAGGAAGAAAGTTCCTTCTGATCTGAACCATTCCAGTGCTGAATATCTGGTGTTTTTTCTATCAAAGAAAATAAGGTAGTAATTTCATTTAACACAAAGACATGGAACAAAGAAATACTTTGTGAATTATGGAAGAATTTTATCAAAACAACAATTGCATGTAAAGCTACACACCTTTAAACATTTCAACACACTCTTCCTTTTCTGGTGTTTGAAATTCACGAGACAAATTCCCAGGCTTGACACCTTTCAAAAAATGTTGAATTTTCAAATTACCACTAGCTTCTTTTGACACAGCTGAAAAATAAAAAAATAAGTAGCTCATTAAAGACAATGACAATAAAGAAATAAAATACAATATCAATGAAATTGCCAGCAGGTACAAGTTTTTTCTCTCAAATGTCCATTTCACAACCCTCCTTAAACATTCAGGATAAAATACACATGAAAGTCAACATCCTTTAACACAGGGGTCTCCAAACTACGGCCCGCAGAGACACTTGAGAAAAAATAATAATATCATTAAACAAAATAAACTTTGTGCATAAAAGAAAAAGAAAAGTAGATGATGAATATCGGCAATTTTAAGAAGAGTGAAGAGTAAAATACTTCTTCATTGCTTTTTGACCAGTGGTATACGGTTCGTCGGCCCTCAACATGCTGGATGAAAGTTCATGTAGCCCTCTGGCTGTAAAGTTTGGAGACCCCTGCTTTAACACAAAACAAACAATATAAAATAATGTTTTATTGTACTATGCTGCTCACAAATGTGTATTCTATAGTGTCATAAGCAATGAAATATGAATAATATAAACACAAAAGTTAAACAAAATAGCTGCTCATATTAAATAGTTTACCAAAAGTCTTGTTCAAGAACAAGAGATTCAATGTCTCCCAAAATGCCATTTCCAGCATTTCAAAGAGAAATAAAATCTACAAAATTTATTGTCAACTCACTTTCACACTTGATGCGATGCAAAACAGCTGTGAAATCTTTAATATCCTTATTGTTTCCATTTTCCAAACAAAAGCAAATTTTTCCATACATATTGAACTCCAAATTCATTTTACCATTTTCTGAGAGGTCAACATTTACTGTGTGCAGGTTGTAAACATCCAACTGTAAAAGAGATTATAAAAATAATAATCAAAATGCTACGAATGTAGACATTACATACATAGATATAAAGCTGATTTATATGAAGTTTTGATAGCATTCAAAGTGCTTATCCTATGATATATTATATCAGTGTGCGAATTAGTTCAGAAAAAACGATGTGCAATTTTTTGACAAAAGTGTTTTTTTAGAGCCATAATTAAATCAATATTACGTTAATTATTATATAACGCTAATTGCTAAATTAATATTTTTAAACATGAACAAATTCATATGATTTACGACAGTGTTTTTTGTTAAAACCGCCGATTTTTGCATATCGTTTGAAAAAGTGATGTGCAATTGTTTTCAATTTAGCTAAAACGATGTGCAAATTGCACATTGCACACCGTTAATTCGCACACTGCATTAAGTCATCAAACAAGGTCTCACATGTACATATCTCCTTACCCTCGTAAAGTAGCAACATGAGTCTGTGTGTTACCATTCACTTCAAAAACCCTGACACTGCGATCTGACGAGCAAGTTGCAAGTTTACGACCATAATAGTCCATCTGGGCATCATGCTAGAAACATGGAGAAATTACATCTCAACACATTGCATTGAAACTGTCATAGAAAAAACTTTTTGAAATGCATAGAGACCTGATTCAGTCGAAATGACCTGGGCCAACCCTGACGAAAATCCTGAGTAGGATTCTGCTGAGGATTTTCACCTGGGAGTGCAAATAATGGCAGGGGATGAAAATGAGCAAAATATAAAACAGTACTTGTTTCTTTCTTCTACATTTGAGAACATGTCATGAGCACACAATAAAATAAACAATCACTACTAGTCACATTTATTATAACAGACATCTTGGATAACATGACATGAAAATCTTATTGCAAGAGTTTGTTCAAAGAATAAGTTGTTTAACAAAAACACAATGAAGACGGAAGTTACTTTCAAATTTCACATGACTTGCAAAAAATAGGCATATATTTTTGGGTGGACAGGACTGTTGAGGTATTTGACAAAATTGCAGCTTTTATTACTTCACATTAATGTGAAATTGCTTGCTTTAAGAGAATTGCGCCATTCATTACCACAATAAAAAGAATATGGTTTGAACCCGAAAGTATTGTTAGATGTTTGTAGATGTAAATTGTCTAGTTTAGTAAAGTCTGGACAAGGACTGTTGGTGTTGATGTTGACTGAGGTTTCCACAGCCTAGGCGTTAGAAAAAAACAGTTGCTCTCTTCTGCATCTACAAACATCATCATCACAAATTTCATTGTGCTTTGCTAACTTAAAATTTTGTGCAACTGGAAACAGAGAAAAGATCTTACCTACAGACTGCAATTTTTCTATGGTGGAAACATGAGACTATTATAAATCTACAGCATGACCACATTGTTTTGAAATGCAATTTATTTCTAGGTACGAACTAATTGCAGATTTCTAGTTTCCATTGCCATTTCAAAATATCGACTTGTGAGAACTTGCTTCCTAACTAAACCTTTCATATAATGCTACATTCACGTGACAATTCAAAGTCCAAACCAACTGAATATCATACGATATATATAATATATAATATGATTATCTTTTAAAATGCAAGTTATGCTACTTATGCATTTCAACAGAAATCTTTTTTAGAGTTTCTTTCTCTAATACCACGTTAAAAAATACATACAGCGTTCAACACTTTAGTACAAACAAAAAACATTAATACTTAAAACATGCTATCAGTATTATCCATGTTACAATTTGCAAACAAGATTTTCAATAACAACTAATTTCTTCAAAGTTCAAACATCTTGTACTTACAATCATGTCTTCATGGGTGGTATCGATCGAGCTCATCACAGAAACCTGCATAATGTAATATAATAATGGTTTTAAGACCCTGTTTCTTGAAGAAAAACCACTCGAAACACGAGTCTTCCTCAAAACAATCGATAATTTCCATTACCATTTTGCTGTTTTGGTTGAGTTGTATGGAGGGTGATCTCCGCCAAAATTAAGAGCTACATTTTCCAATTACTAATGCGCATTTTGTCCTTTGCAATGTGCATTTTGTCTTGATCATATTGCATTCTGGAATTTCATAATCGGATTTTGTCCTGTTCAATTTCCGTTAAAACGCATTTTGTTATTGAACATTCCATTATGATGACGTAACATTATTCGTGACTCGCAGAACATGTCTCGATCACATTATAATTTATTTACTAGGAGTTACTATCGCAAGGAAAGTGCTGCCCCTCCACCAAGTAAGGTAAAACAGTTTGGAAACTGCTATTGTGTGTTTTCCATCATTTATCATCTGCCATAAACAATACAATAATGAATGGTAAAAATAAAAATACAGCAAGAAACCGCAACAACTTGTATACTTTGTCATTGCATAAAGACAAGCTAATTGTGTCATCTTTTATTTTCAAATTGTCATATAAATCAATTTATAGAAGTAGATGCAAGAAGTAACACTGTATGTATGTATAATTATTCTAATTTCAAAATGGAATAATTGGATGAACAGTTTTCAAAGCTCATTTTACAAAAATTTGCATATTGTCATTTAGAACTCGGCCAATAACAATTAAATCATGTTAACCGGAGCTTAAATTTGATTTTGTAAAATATGATTCTGTAAAAAGCCACATGGTTGATGTAAACATTGTGGACATTTGAACAGATTTTAACCTTGAAAAGTTTTTTGACTTTGAAAAGACATATGGTTCCTGTTGAAAATGTTTCATATTTGTCAAAAGCTTATAGTTTTGTTTGCTTAAATATTTTAAGACAATTCACAATTCTGATTTTGTTCTTTAGGTTGAAATAAAAACACGGCATGATTTCTTGTTTGATTTGTGTCACTTTCTTTTAGACTGCTTTTTGTGAAGCTCATTTGCCTTATTAATTGTAACCTGAGAGATAATTTAGTCTAGCGCAAATCAATTTTTTGCAATACAACCAATACAATATGATGCATGGTTTACTCGCCATGTTTAATCATGATCGTGACTAAAACACCACACGAGTACACACGAGTACATACGAGTACATACGAGTACATACGAGTACATACGAGTAACACACGAGTACATACGAGTAACATACAAGTACATACGAGTAACATACAAGTACATACGAGTAACATACGAGTGACATACGACTATTTTCTGGTCAACAAATGAGAAACAACACAATTTCTTCAATACATTGATATTTGCGTTTATTTTTCCTTGTATTTGTGTGGACTTTGGGGCAACCATTTGATGGATTTAAATGCTGAAAAGGTATTTTACTTTCATACTACATTCATTTGTATGTTTTAGTTGAATTTGTTATAGATATTTTGTCGATGCGATTTGCCAGTATTTGAGCGCTTTTCGAAGCACTTTCACCTAGGAAATACATATTTATGAAAGCGATTATACATTCATTTTGACTCTGAAGATGACTACCGCTAAGGTTGTCGAAACGTCAGTCAACAACAACAAAAACAGTCCGTCTCAGGACTATACGTAACAGTGCAACTCTCATTTAATTCAAATATATATAATGTACATTTATTTCATGTAGCACGTTTTGAAAGCATTATTTATACGTTGTTTATTTAATCGCTTTCATAAATATGTATTTCCTAGGTGAAAGTGTTTCAAAAGCGCTCAAATACTGGCAAATCGCATCGACAAAATATCTATAACAAATTCAACTAAAACATACAAATGAATGTAGTATAAAGTAAAATACCTTTTCAGCATTTAAATCCATCAAATGGTTGCCCCAAAGTCCACACAAATACAAGGAAAAATAAACGCAAATATCAATGTATTGAAGAAATTGTGTTGTTTCTCATTGTTGACCAGAAAATACTCGTCGTATGTCACTCGTATGTTCACTAAATATGCTTGTATGTTACTCGTCATTGTCGTAATATTACTCAATGAATTATAAAATGTACTCGTATACTGTGTGGTGTTTTAGTCACGATCGTTGGTATAGCATTCCAATTTCTATCAATCAGCATGCACAAACGACGCAAAGTTCACCTTATATGGAGGTGAGTGCTTCAATGCTCAATCGATTCTCGTAGTCATACGTTTTCATCATTAAATATTAGTAGGACTAGATCATTAGTTCTATAATAACTGGAGGGCTAACTTTACTGGCGAGATGCCAAAAAATGGCGGCCAACGGACGTATTTCCGCTGAAATGATCGCTTTGCAGAAAAGTAATATTCTCGACCTCCCCTGGTGTCTATAGTAAATTATAAAGAATTTTCAAAAACAAACACGATATCACAGAATATGGATATCGTTAGTTCCATAATCTTGACGATTCTTTTTGGCATTTCTTATAATGCCAACACTTCAATCGTTCAATTGTTGGATGTCGTAGTTTCCACAAAAGGAACATATCGCTTCTCACAGGTGAGGTGTTGTTTTTTGTTAGTCCGTCAACGATTGAAAAGCAATTATACATGCACTTGGCCATAAAGTACATATTAAAGATCGTATTTTTAAGACTGACTTGAACGCCAAATATACTGATGTTTTCCTGTTTATAAAACTCTGTATACTTGTAAAATTCTTATAAAATTCTGTATACTTTTCTGATATTTGTTAATGCATGAAATCGTAAATTTACCCATCTTTTGGAATAGTTTCCCAAAGACAAAAGACATTTTAGATTTGCTATAACTATATCGATTTTAAGGGCGGATCTAGAGTATGTCAAATCCGTCGCGCGACTGAAGTTTGAAATTCAAAATTACCTATTCATATTAATTAAAAATCATTAATTATTCTTACTTTCTTATCGCATTTACTTCGTGATAAAAATCCAGCATTATTTATTATTGAAAACTAATGACTAATCCAATGAATATCTCGTTGGTAACCAGATCAGTTGAATTTTAATTGACCTGGAATAACCGACTGATAAGCGGGTGGCTTGACTGGTTCGACGGATAAAGGAGTCTGAACGTCAAAACGCTTATTTTATTGGTCAATAGCCAGATCAGTGGACAGTCTGGAATGGTCTCGACTGATAATAAGGGTGGTCGGACGTATAAGGAGTCCAATTGCTATCTTACAATTGGTTCATTTGAATTTTTGCTTTATTGTGATTGGTTTGACGGATTTCGACTGATAGCCAACTGAACTAACATAGTCAAGCTCACTGTCTGAATTGAATGTTTGATCGTTTTATAGTAATTTTTATAAGCATGATAGAAACTAAACTACAATCAGATGGAATTTATGGAAATCTTTACAAATTCATATATTGACATGAATGCTGCTGTCCAAAATGTGAATTTTTCAAGAGGGTGGAAATTTTGAATAAATTTTAAATGCTTGGCAAGACGATCTCCCGAGCGACATTTCAGTCATTGATGTTCAAAAGAAAGCCAACATTGTTTTGAGTTTTATCAGCAGAAATTTACATCCAAAATCGTAAGTAAAGGACAAGTGAAGTGTATGCATGAATGTAATATATCAAAGTCAATTATGCGAGTGTGTGATGCGATTTATGTCAATATGGCGTATGGTAAGCAGATTGATGCTTCTAAAATTGTTGTTGCCGAAGGACTTTTAGCTATGATTTCTTTAGTGCTTGGGGAATCGTGGCCGTTATACGGCAGCGAAATCCTACATTCCTGCAAATATATTTCAATGGACAAAAAATCTGTAGCCATAAGGCGCCATACTATTATTTACTTTATCATAAACAAATGTTTGGGGTTTTCAGTTTATGATCATTGATCATTCAATCATTGGACAGTTATACTACATATTGTTTAAGATTTGAGAAAACTAACATTGATTACATGAGAAGCTGTTTACTATAACCTGTGATTTTGAGTCTTCTGATCCATGAAGCTTTTATTTTGACAATTTGACTGGAATGGTATTAAACCTGAGTATTTCACATACATGGAATGTTGTCCCATGTCACATATTGTCCCCTTTTCTAACTGAACACCTCATGTAGAGATGTAAAGTGTGTTAATCTACGGCTCATACCAGATTGTTTGCCATAAATTCCAAAGGGCTATTGATGTATGAAAAGCATTTTCTATAAAGTAAAAATGTCTTTCTATGTATGCAGATAAACCTTGAAATTTGGCAAAACAGCAAAGTATTTTCATGATCACTAGGTAATTTTTCTGATGATCATTATAATTTCTAAACTAAATTATTTCTGATTTAGATTTAAAGAAGCTTTGATCATATGAAAAGATATTTATCATAACCAGTAAGCATGACACATGAACCAATTTTAACATTCATGTAATTATATAATTAAAGACATGTTGGTTACATTCTGTTTGTATTTGCAAATACAATGCTACTAGTGATTGCTATATAGCACACCTTGCATATACTTACAGGAGATAATAGTCTAGTGAAATGCCTAATAAACATTTATGGCATTAAGCTGTCCTTAACTGCAAATTTTCACTCTGATATATTTTGCTTAACCTTTGGCAGAAAAAATTTTGAGTTTTTTCTCAAAAAGGGAATTTGCTGGCACTGATGTGGAGATGGGTAAAAGGTTACAATAAACTTGCATGGTTTGAAGTCTGAGCTTTTCTATATCTATGAACTGTCACTTGTAGTACCAAATTTCTAACTTAACTAAACTCATTACATAGAGGTTTGAATGGGGGTCTCTAGGAAGGTCTATGCCTGACAACTTGGTAGAAATTTTTAAAGACTATATCTGTTTTGAATAGCATTATTGTAAAATAAATTTACGTTCCTAGACATGCTAATGAGCCATATATTTGGCATGACAATGAGCCTAAATATTTGGCAAAACATTCAAGTATTGTTCACTTCATTTTTTTTTTGAAAAAAACGTAAGCAAAATGTGTTGTTTTTACGCAAAAACGATGCCCACAAATACATTTTGTATTGCTCTAAAACGCTGAAAATGGCATTTTC